CAGCTAAGCTACAGGCTGCCTGCCAAGCATTTACTGTGTAAAATGTACAAAATAGCATTCATTGGATCCTCTCCAGCTACACAACAGCCAAACAAACAACTGTAGTTCTCGATATGAAAACAGTGTTTTTCCCCCTTACAATTGTATTAAACACTTTAATATATCTTTCTCTATTCTTACTCAAAACAATAAGTTTTGAGGAAAAAAAATTGAGAGAACTTTACAGAATTCCAGAACAAATACTTTGCACTCCAAACAGGTTCCAAACTTGAATAAGCTTTCTTGCAGCTGAATATAAATAGAAACGAAGGCAATCATAAAATAAGGTCACTTTGAGAAAAGGATTTTATTAATAGAGAATGTTGCTCTTTTTGACAACTAAAAAATACATAAAAGTTTCAGGCATGAAGTCCCAGAGGTTAAATTATTAGATTCCCTTCCAAATATTATGTTTTAGCTGGTATAATTTTTTGTGATGTTGAAAATAAAAATAAAAATGTTCATAAATTATGCTGATAGCGGAGTTAAAACTATCCACTCCTTTAACTGGTTGCCATCTTCAAAAAAAAAAGGAGGGGGGAATGGATGCAGGAAACTACAGATCAATCAGCTTGACCTCAATGTCTGGGAAGATCCTGGAAAAGATACACCTAGAAGCAAGCAAAAGTTATAACCAGAAGCCAACATGGGTTTGTCAAAAACAGATCATGCCAAACCTTATTTCATTATTTGACAAAGTGACTAAATTAGTGGACAGCGAAACGTAATGGATACAGTATGCTTGGATTTCAGTAAAGCAGTTGACAAAGTAGACCACAACCTACTTCATGGTAAGCTAAAAAAATGTGAGATAGACAGCATCACCACCAAATGGATTTGTAACTGGCTGACCAACTGCACTCAACATGGAGTCCTTAATGGAACTACACAGAGATACTGAAGTAATCTGTGGGGTACCTAAAGGTTCTATCTTAGGCCCAATACTCTTCAGTATCTTTATAACAATTTGCAGGAGTGAAGGGGAACTCGCCAAATTTGCTGATGACACCAAGCTGGCAGGAACAGTCAGTACTCCAGAAGATAGGCTCAAGATACAGAAGCACTGAGCCCTGTCTAATAAAATGGAATCCAATGGTGAGAAAAGGAAAGTTTTACATATAGGCCAGAAAAAAACAGGTATAGAATAAGTAGAACCTGGATTAATAGCTGTAACTGCAAGAGGAATGTAAAAGACCTAGTGGACAACTACTTGAATATGAGCAAGCAGCCTGCTACAGCCATCAAAAAAGCTAATGCAGTTCTAGGCCGCATCAACAGAGGATTAGAATCAAGATCACTTTACAGTAAAGTTTTCTTGGTAAGGCCACACCTAGAGTACTGCATCCAGTTTTGGTCTACACAATATAGAAAAGATGTTGAGACTCTGGAAAGAGTGCAGAGAAGAGCAACAAAGATGATTAGGGGGCTGGAGGCTAAAATATAAGAAGAATGGTTGCAGGAATTGAGTTTAGTCTAGTGAGAAGAAGGACTAGGGGTGACATGATAGCAGTTTTCCAGGATCTGAGGGGCTGCCACAAAAAAAGAGCGGAGCAAGCAATTTCCAAAGCACCAGAAGGGCAGGACAAGAAGCAATGGATGGAAACTGACCAAGGAGAGAAGCAACCTGGAACTAAGGAAAGTCTGCTCCTTCTTTTATCTCTGCCACTCCTATACCTGGATTCAGGATCCTCATTCGTAACAGTTTCCAAGCCTCTTCTAACAAACAAAAAATTACACACCTGATTTTTTTTTTTTAACCCAATGGGAAAATTCTTGGGATGCTTCACCAGTTCTCTTATGGTTGCCCACTATGTTTCAGGAAATACAAGTTTTCAAGGTATGGTTAACAGCACTTTGATGCTTGAGACAAAAACTTATAGCTTCTGCTTGACTCCTGATCCCAAAGGATGATTTCCAGCAATCTACTTTGAAAGACTGTCCAACAGACAGCCTCTCCATTAAATATGTTATGATTGCATGCATTCCTCTAGCCAAGTAAACTTCTACTGAGTAAATTGTCTCTTCCTTGCTAATCATAGTAATGAAAACATAATAAAATAAAAAAACTACACAAAGTAAACAATGCAATCTGCTTCGCCATGGCTTCCATGAAAGTGCTATTATTAAAGCAAGATGTCACATCGGACTGACAGAAACAGAAGCCTTTGCTCAGAAGCACAGACTGCCAAAAAAAGAAACCTAGAATTACAATGTAGAATTAAGAGACACCATAATTATAGAGTCCCATTTACTGCAATCTTCAGTAAAAACAACTAAACCATCCTTGAGATAGTCCTCTTTAAAAAAAAAACTACAAAGATGAAGGATTCACCACCTGGACACATCTTCATCTATAAATGAACTTGTCAGGAGTTGAGTCCATGCACGCTTTTATGCTCTAGTCCAGTGATGGCGAACCTTTTTGTTGTGCTGTGCTGAAAGCACGTGCGTGCTGGCACCCACAATGCAATGTGTCCCGCCCCCCTGCACATGCATGCACAAAACCCCCGCCCCGCCCCCTTACCTGCACTGGGCATGTACATGCCTCCCAGCTGATTATCGGTCCGTTTGAGGTCGTTTTCAGCCTCCCGGAGGCTCGAGAGAAGCCTCTGCAGCCTCAGGAGGCCGAAAAACGGCCCTGTTTTGGCACTTCCGGTATTTCCAGAAGGCCCGTTTTGCGGCCTCCCGAGACTGCAGAGGCTTCCCTTAAGCCTCCGGGAGGGGGAAAACGGCCTCAAACGGGCTGAAAATCAGCTGGGAGGCGCGCGCATGCACAGTGCAGGTAAGTTTGGTTGGGGCTCGCATGCCTGCACAAATGGCTCTGCATGACACCTGTGGCACGCATGCCATAGGTTCGCCATCATGGCTGTAGTCTTATCGCGGTTGCTTTTATCATCAACAATGAAGTGCACCCTATTCTCTATCTCTGGAGAATGGTCTCTGCATTTGATAGCCCTATGTTTAGAAAAATGTTCCCTGCATGATCAGAAGTGCAACACACCAAGGAGAAAAGCACTCTGACTATGTTCAGAGGCACAGCCATCATAAATAAACCAACGACCCCTGCTCCAGGTCTACAATAACTCCTCATGGCCAACTCACCGTGGAACAACTCACCACAGGACAAAGACTTACAGCAGGGGTCCCCAAACTTGGCAACTTTAAGACTTGTGGACCTCAACTCCCAGAATTCTCCAGCCAGCATAGCTGACTCTTGTAATCCCTTCCTGTGCAACCTCTCTCCACTTTAGGAGATTAAGGGAGAAAAAAAAAGCAGGCATGGCTGGCTGGAGAATTCTGGGAGTTGAAGTCCACAAGTCTTAAAGTTGCCAAGTTTGGAGACCTCTGACTTACGCTAATATTGAAGAAATAGTCAAACAGAATCATTAAAGAAAGGATGCCAGTGGAAGAACAAAATAAAGTGCGAATGACAAAAAAGTATATTTTAAACATATTTTAAATAATTAAATTGTCGAATTGTGCTGCAGCGAGTTGTCCCATTCCGCCCTGCTCACACTTCTCTTAAGACTTAGCCATTACAGGTAATCCATGCTTTACAACCACTCGTTTAGTGGCCAAAGTTACAACAGCCTTGAAAAAAAGCGACTAATCCCTTTTTCCACACTTCTGACCATTGCAGACTCCCCACGGCCACGCGATCCAAATTCAGATGCTTGGCAACTGGTTTGTATATATGACGGCTGATGTATCGTTAAGTCAAGAACTATCTAAAGGCAAAGTAGAAGGAATGACAGATACTCCTCAACTTAATGACCGTTCACTTAGCGACAATTCGCTTAGTGACCGTTCCAAGTTTGCAGCACTGAAGAAATGACCGTTTTTCACACTTTTTCACCCTTACGATTGTTGCCAGCATCACAGGATTAAAAGTTGCACTTTGGCAACCGATTCACATTCGTCATAAATTCACATTTAGGATGGCTGTGGGGGTTCCCCACAGGGTCACCTGATCCGCTCTTGCGACCTTCTTGGCAAGCAAAGTCCATGGGAAAGCCAGACTCAATTAACGACCGGGTGACTAATTTAGCAACTGCAGGGATTTACTTAACAACGACGGCAAGGAAGGTCGTAAAATGGGGCAAGATGCCCTTCACAACGTCTTGCTCAGCAATGGAACCCCCCCCCACTCCTATCTCGGTCATAAGTCGAGGACCAGCGATGTCTGACGGGTCTCCAGGCTGCCCACCCCCCCCTCGTTCGGCCCCGCAGCAACCCCGGCAGGAGGCAAAGCTGAGGGGCGCGGGCCTTCGGCAGGAAGGGCGCGGCTCCTCACCGCGGCCGTATCCCTGCGTGTGCTTAGCGAAGCTCCGCACCACGGCCTCCACGGCCTCCCTCAGGACGGCGGGAGGGCCCCCGGCGGCTCCCGGAGGGCTGGCGGCAGCGGTGGCGCCGGCCGTCACTCCCGGCAAGAGGGAGGGGGGGAGCGGCGGAGGGGCCGGCGGCGGCCCCAAGGTGAGCGTCAGCCCGAGCGGCGGTGGGGGCGGCGGGAGAGGCGGCGCTGAGGCGGCCGAGGGAAGCGCCCCCGTCGTCACGCCGGGCCGCAGCGAGCGCAGCGTCCCGCCGACGCCCGGCTGCAGCCGCTGGACGCGGAGCGACTCCATCGCCCCTCCGTTGCGGGCGACCGTAGGCGAAGAGACGCGGAGCTGTCACTCAGCCCTGGCCAGCAACCAATGGTAGAAAGCCTTCTCCGACAGGAGGCGGGCTTTTCGGCCCTCTTGCCCAATCGTCGTCGTGAGTCTCTCGAAAGCCAGGAGACGGACGGCCCGAGTTGGAGTTGGGAGGCTCCTCGGCGAGGCTTTAGCCAATGGGGATCGAGAACAGAAGCAGGCGGACGCTCTTGGGCTTACGTCATAACTTTCATCCCAGTACGTTCAGCGCGAGCCAATCGCAAGCCTCGGATAAATTTGACCCTCACGCGCTCCCGTAAACGGAGGCGGAAGTGGAGGTATTTACCTCTCCGAGGGCCCGATAGACGGGCGAGGGCTGAGGTGGAGGTTGCTCGGTTTGGTTAATCTTTTACCGCCCCTCGGTCTCCGCCATGGATTCCTGGGTCCGTTTCAGCGCCCAAAGCCAAGCCAAGGAGCGGGTCTTCAGGTTTGCACGGGCGAAGGGCTGTGGGTGACCACCCGGGAGGACTTTACATGTAGTCCTCGACTTACGACCACAGTTGAGCCCAACATTTCTGTTCAGTGAGAACTTTGGGCTTTGCCCCGTTTTAAGACCTTCCTTGCCACAGTTGTTAAGTGAATCACTGCAGTTGTTAAGTTAGTAGCCTGGTTGTTAAGTGAACCCGGCTTCCCCATTGACCTTGTTTGTCAGAAAGTCACAAAAGGTGACCATCATAAGTGTGAGTCAGTTGCCAAGCGTCTGAATTCTGATCACATGACCACAGGGGATGCTGCAATGGCCATAAGCCTGAAAAACGGTCCCAAGCCCCCTTTTTAGTGCTGTTGTAACTTTGAAACGGTCACTAAATGAACTGTTGTAAGTCGAGGGCTATCTGTATTTTTAAAATTCATGCGAAGCATTTGGTTTAAGTTGAATTAATCTCATTAGATATCAATAAAAGAGAATATCTGTAGCCCAAGACTGAACTTTCGGGTCCTTGGTACTCTTTGAATTATTGTTTTCCTGCAGAAGTTTCATTTAACAAACTACTTAAAAGGCTGTTGCTTTTCATTGCAAACATGGGCTTGTGCATAACTAGGGCACGGCCATAACTCTGGCAACACATTCTTACTTTTCTTCTTGAGGTTGCTTTTCTCTCGTCCTCCCCCCACGGATGAAAAAGGCGGTGCCCTTATTTAAGTCATCCAAATATTTACCTCTTGCCTCATTTGCACTCCGCCAGTGCTTCTTCAAAGAGAGCTTTTGGCAACTACTTTGGAAAAACTTTGGGTGTCTGTGGTTAATTGGAAACTGAGGCAATGAAGACAGCATAAATATTAGTAATGAGGACATCAGATCTTGTGCTCATAAGTGATAGAAAAAATTCTGCGTTTTGTTCCTAAAAGTGGATCCTGAACTTTTTTCTTTCTGCAGGGAAATATATGGTTTACTTATGGTTTTCTTATGTGTATGTGTGTATTGGAAACTGAGGCAATGAAGACAGCATAAAGATCAGTAATGAGGACATCAAATCTTGTCCTCATAGGTGATAGCAAAAATGCTGTGTTTCATTCCTAAAAGTGGATCTTTAATTTCTTTCTTTCTGCAGGGAAACTTATGGTTTACTTATGTGTATGTAATCACATAGGACAAGATAATATGAGAGAATTTATAATAGAATTTAAGCAAACCATATGCTGAATTTTCCTTCGGTTATTAAAACCTAGTAATCTAATTGTGGCATGTATGTGAAAGGAAAATATATTATGTCATTGCTTTACTATGCTTTAATTGCTTTTTCAAAAATGGATAAACTACACATGACTGATTTTGTTAAATATTTAGAATAATATTTGTCTGTTTTCTCAGAATAATTCTTTAAGCAATTGCACATGTTAAGTTCTTGGCAAAAGTCAGATTCTATATTTCTGGAATGTAAGTCAAAATGTAAAAGATTTCCCTATGAATCTACTTATACATTTATTAAAATATTATTCCAATTTATATAGTTCCAAAAGGACACCTCTCAATTTTTTTATATAGCCACAAAGAAGATCTGACATCCATCATTTAACAACATTCTTTGGGGCATCCAATAAAATCAAAATTACTTTTTTTTGCTAAATAGTTTTCAGTTTTAAATATGATGAAACCAATTTACAAGTCTTTTAACATTTGCAATCATTGATGTTCCACTATCAGATATATCCAGTTTTTGTTTCCATACATAAATGTTAGTGATTTCAGTTTTCAAAGTATTGTTTAATTTTTGATGGAAATACAATGTTGATTCAGTTTCAGAAATGGGACTTTAGCAGAAGAGAAAGATCACAGGTTTCATTGATGCAAGTAAACTATCTGTCCATATTGAGCTTGTCAAGACATGTGTGAGTTGCAATTATATAACCACTGCCATAAATTAGGGAAGCAAAATTTTATCCAAAGTCAAGAGAAATCCTTACCAAATAGTTGAGTTAAAGTTACTATTGCAGATTCCACCCAATGGAAAGTTCCTTGAATTATGGAATAAGTGACAAATGTATAAATGCAATCCTCCAGCTTAAGTCATCAGAACTCTTGGACTGGATGGGTTTCCAGCTGGATTCTAACCTTAGTACAGGTAGTCCTCTATTTATGACCACAATTGAGCCCCAAACTTCTGTTGCTAAGTGAGATATTTGTTAAGTGAGCTTTGCCCTACTTTACAACTTTTCTTGCCTCGGTTGTTAAGGGAATCACTGCAGGTGTTAAGTTAGTCCCAACATCCGCTAAGCGAATCAGGGCTTCCCCCATTGACTTTGCTCATCAGAAGGTCACAAAAGGGGATCACGTGATCCCAGGACACTGTAGGATGACCCAGGGTGGGATACAAAAGCAACAAAGTCACAAAAAACAGGTGAAGTCCCTTTAATTCCTTCAACTTGGCTTCAAAGGTCCAATTATCATTGACTGGAGAAAAAAACTCCCCCATGAACCAGTTGCGAAAAGGAAGAAATTCTGTTCAAACTCAGAATACATATAAATTATAAAAAAAAAAAAAAAACAAGCCACACTGAAGCAATTAATGAGAAAAGGCAGGATAAGGGCTTGAAGACGTCCACAGATGTCGACATACACACACTGGGAAGGATAAGATAACTCAGATAAGAACTGATAGACTAGAATTATTTCACACTTTGCTTCCAGCACTGGGCCATGCGCAGTTTGTCCTTTTAAACAGTCCTCCCAGCTGCAGCCCATGAAGGGGATCAGGGCCCTTTCCTCCCCTGTAGACCATGCCATTCACATTTCTCCCTCTGATTGCCCAGCCAGCCTGTGCCCTTCCCCAGTTTCCTCCACAACCTCCCGAGCCACACTCCCACTCCCTGTCGGCTGTTCCTCCTCTCCCTCGGAGTCAGATTCTAATAGGGGCATGACACACTGCAACCATCATAAGTGTGAGTCAGTTGCCCAGCATCTGAATTCTAATCATATGACCCCAGGGATGCTGCATCATAAATGTGAAAAACAGCCGTTTTAGTGCTGTTGTGACTTCGAACACTCACTAAACAAACTGTTGTAAATCAAGGACTACCTGTTGAACAAATCTGGACCATACCAAATTGTAGGATAATGACTTGACCTATAACTCCTCTCTTCTCTTTTTTTTATTGACTTGTCTTGCTTAGCTTATAAACTAACAGACTCCAGTTTGTTGCATGAAGATTATTTTAGGTTCTTTAGTTGACAAATCTCAGTTGGGTCTCTTTATTGTTTTTTCCTAGAGCTGCCCAATATGCCTGCACCCTATTAAGCTATGCCTTGCAGAAGAATGGAGCTGGCCCTGACTTCCTTGCAAGGATCAAGCAGCTGGAGGCTCATCTGAGCTTGGGACGCAAGCGTAAGTGTGACAGGAATTGACAGGGGCGGGAGGGCAGAGGTCCAGCGGGCATTCGGGCACTGGCAGGGCAGGAAGGTGTGGGGGGGAGAGAGAGTGACGGGGCTTCCCTTCCTTTTCTGAAGGGGAATTTGCAGCTGACTCAGGAGGCACAGCTATCAAATGAAAGCAAGGAGGGAGGCAGCAGGAGGAAGGGGAGGGGGAGAGAAAGGAAAGGAAAAAGGAAAGGGAAGGGAAGGAAAAGGGGAAGGGAAGGAAAGGAAAGGAAAGGAGGAAGGAAGGACAGGACAGGACAGAGGAAAGGGGAAAGGAAAGGGGAAAGGGGAAAGGAAAGAGGAAAGGAAAAAGGGAAGGGAAGGAAAAAGGGAAGGGAAGGAAAGGAAAGGGGAAAGGAAAAAGGAAAGGAAAGGAAAAAGGAAAGGAAAGGAAAGAGGAAAGGAAAGGAAAAAGGAAAGGAAAAAGGGAAGGGAAGGAAAGGAAAGGATTCAGCATCCCCACGATCATGCGATCAAAATTCAGGCGCTTGCCAACTGGTTCATATTTATGACGGCCGCAGTGTCCCAGGGTCACGTGATGCCCTTTTGCGACCTCCTGACAAGCAAAGTCAGTGGGGAAGCTGGATTCACTGAGCAACTGTGTGACTAACTTAACAGTTTTGGTGATTCACTTTACAACTGTGGCAAGAAAGGTTGTAAAATGGGGCAAAGTCAGAGGAGATATTCAGCTGGTTCTGACCAGTTCTGGAGAGTAGCAGAAATTTTGAGTCGTTCAGAGAACTGGCCAATACCGCCTCTGACTGGCCCCGCCCCATCTATGCTCCACCTCCCGAGTCACAGCTGATTGGCTGGGTCTTCTTTGGTTGCCCTGCATAGGAGAACGGAGCTGGAAAGCAGGTTAGCGGGGTGGGGAGGGAAGGGGGATTTTGCTGTATCCTTCCCCTGCCACGCCCACCAAAGCCACGCCCACAGAACTGGTAGTAAAAAATTTTTTGAATCCCACCATTGTCTCCCTTAGCAACATAAATTTTGGGCTCAATTGTGGTCGTTAAGTCTACTTTTTTTTCCCCTGTATAAAATTTGCATTTATTCCAAAAATGTAAGTGTGTCACTTATGTAAAAAAAGTAGAATAATTCAGTGGAATGTGCTTACTTTTTCACCTGATGGTAGGAAATCTTTTGGAGGGTTTTTGTTCTCTCTGCCCCCCTTCCTCACCCACAACGCTCAAGTCAACCAAAAGTAGCTGCCTTAAGGATCCATCCAAGTAATTGCCATTCTCCTAATGCAGAAGACTCTGAAAGCGAATATAAAGATTAAAACCAGAAACTTCTTTGGGCTTTAATGGATAAAGAATTGGAAAAAAGAATCTGGAACTTCGATGTTATATTTCAATCAATCAATCAGGATAGAGCTGGAAGGGACCTTGGAGGTCTTCTAGCCCAACCTCCTGCTCAAGCAGTAGTCCCTATATGATTTCAGACATAGGGCTGTCCAGTCTCTTCTTAAAAAGCCTCCAGTGATGGAGCGCCCACAACTTCTGGTGGCAAGCAGTTCCACTGGTTAATTGTTCTCACTGTTAGGACGTTTCTCCTGAATTCTAGTTTGTTGACCGCATCGAGATTACTTTATGCACAAAAATGGATGGACATTTTTGATACCCACAATGGATGAAGGGCTGCAGAAATTGATGGAATCAGCAGAGATTGGCTAAATTGACTGTTTTGATTAAAGGAAAAAAAAAACACAATTATTTTCGTTTCTTCTTGGAAACCGCTTCTGGACTTCCTGCTTGAGGTGGAAAAAAAATGAAACTTTGATTTTGGCTTTTACGGATCAGATAGATTTGTTGTTCTAGAAATGGCTAAGTTTATATTATTATGTAAAAGTAAAAAAATGAGGTTTGATGTTATTATCTTATTCTACTGCACCAAATTCAGGAAGATTCAGGAAGTCGATGCCTTTTCTTCCCCCCCCCTTTTTTTCTACCCTTTTCCCTTCCCTATTTTTCCTATGATTTGCTTTTGTATTTTATATTATAAATGACTAAAAAGAAAACTGATAATAAAAAATAAAAAAGTAATTGTTTGCCAATCCACCCACAGCATATTTCAAGGCCTCTCCCTTGGTGAGCTGTGGAAATAAGACCGGCTGGATTGTGCACATCCATGACTCTGGCCTTACTTTCTAGTATTCCGACTGGGGAATTCTGCAGATGCTCTGGAGGCGGCCAAAAGAGCCATCCACCTGTCAGACATCGTCCTCCGTTTCTGCATCACAGTGAGCCATTTAAACCGAGCCATGTACTTTGCCTGCGACAACATCTTGTGGGCCGGGAAATCAGGCCTTGTTCCACACATGGACCAGGAGAAGTGGAGCCAGCGTTCATTCAGGTGAGATGGAAGTTCCCTCCCTTCCCTCTCCCTCCCTCCCTCCCAGGGAGATTTGTCTGCTGCTTGAGGGCTCCAGGTTGTGGAGGGAATGGCGAATCCGATCCTGAGAACACAAAGGAAACCTTATAGATCAGTGATGGGAATCCTTTTTGTTGTGGTGTGCCAAAAGCACGCGTGTGTTCCAGCACCCAGAATGCAATGTGCCCTGGCCCTCCCTGGGCATGCGCATGCAACACCCCCACCCTGCTCTCTCACCTGCACCTGTGCATGCACACGCCTCCCAACTGTTCTTTGGCCCGTTTGAGGCCATTTTCTCCCTCCCAGAGGCTTGAGGGAAGCCTCTGCAGCCTCGGGAGGCCGAAAAGCGGGCCTGTTTCGGCACTTCTGGTATTTTCAGAAGGCCTGTTTTTTTGGCTTCCCAAGGCTTCCCTCGAGCCTCCAGGAGGGCGAAAACTGTCTCAAACGGGCCACCTGTGGCACGTGTGCCATAGGTTCGCCATCGCGGTTATAGATGATTAAGGGACTGGATACGATGAACGGTTGCAGAAACTGGGCTTGGCTAGTCTAGTGAAGAGAAGGACCAGGGGAGACAGGACAGCCGTCTTCCAATATTTGAGGGCAGGGATTTGGACTGGATGACCTACAAGGTTCCTTCCAACTCTGTTAATCTGACTTTAATGAACACAAGGGCCAGGGGAGACAGGAGAGCAGCCTCCCGATATTTGAGGGGCTGCCCCAGAGAGGAGGAAGGGGTCAAGCTATTCTCCAAGGCACCTGAAGGCCAGACAAGGAATAATGGGTGGAAACTGATCAAGGAGAGATTCAACCTGGAAATAAGGAGGAATTTTCTGATAGAGACCAATCAACCCATGGAACAGAAGTTGTCTTTAGAAGTTGTGGGAGCTTTCAAGAAGAAACTAGACTGCTATCTGTCAGAACCTGATGTAGGGCAGTGGTGGGATTCAAATTTTTCTACTACCAATTCTGTGGGCGTGGCTTTGTGGGTGTGGCTTTGTGGGCGTGGCAGGGGAAGGATACTCTAAAATCTCCAGTCAGAGGTGGTATTTGCCGGTTCTCCGAACTTCTCAAAATTTCCCCTAATGGTTCTCCAGAACTGGTCAGAACCTGCTGAATACCACCTATGGTGTAGGGTCTCCTGCTTGGGTGGTGGGTTGGACTAGATGACCTACAAGGTCCCTTCCAACTCTGTTAATCTGTTATCGATCTACGAACTTCAAGATGCTCTTTAAAAACTAATTTCCTTATACCATACTAATTTAACAACTGCAGTGATTCAGTTAGGAAACGTGGCAGGAAAAGTTGTAAAACGGGCGAAACTCACTTAATCAATGTCTCACTTGGCAAGATACATTTTGGGCTCAGTTGTGGTCATAGGTTTGAAGATATATTCTCTTATGCTCCAGCTAGGACAGAGGTCTCCAAACTTGGCGACTTTAAGACTTGTGGACTTCAACTCCCAGAATTCTCCAGCCAGCATATGCTGGCTGGAGAATTCTGGGAGTTGAAGTCCACAAGTCTTAAAGTGGCTGAGTTTGGAGACCCCTAAGCTAAGATTTCGGGATTTTTCCATCTTCCCTTCGCACCATTTTCAGATACTACCTCTTCGCGCTGATTATGAACTTGAGCCGAGACGCCTACGAAATCCGGCTCCTGATGGAGCGCGAGACCAACGCAAAGTCCCAGAAAGGAAGCTGCCGGAACGGCAGATCTGGCCCGGGAGACGACCGTGGCTTCCAGCAGCTGGCCCTGAAGGTGAAGCTGCAGCTCGCTCTCCTGGCCCAAGTGCTCCGGAACAACCCTCCCCTCCTTCTGGACGTGATGAAAAACGCCTGTGACATTTTCATTCCCTTGGACAAGCTGGGCCTGTACAGGAGCAGCTCTGGTTTCGTGGGGCTCTGTGGCCTGACCTCCTCCGTCCTTTCCATCCTCACCATCCTCCACCCGTGGCTGAAGCTGAAACCTTGATCGGTGCCAAGAGGCTAAGCCGAGCTCCTTCCTCTCCTGAATTTCCCCCTGGCGGAAACTCGCTTGGGGGGTGCTAATAACATGGCAGGCTCTGCCAGCCAGGAAGCAGAAGTTCCTCCGAGCTTTGGAGAAAGGATGAGAGACCCTCCTTTCTACACTCTTTAAATGGAACCCAGCAGGTTGACAAACAACTGTGGGAATGGCCCTTGTGGGGAGCCTTTAGTATTTGGGGTTATCAGGCCAGGGGGAACTGGAGCATCCGCCTTTTCATGTCTTATTTATTTAGGAAGAAGCAAATAAAATGAAAAATACACTAGCCATGTTGTAGGTTAATAAGGGTCTTCCTGGCAGATAGGGCGCAGTTAGGTGGCTTCTCAGCTAGAGACTGGGGAGAGTGCAGTAGTGCAGGGTCACCAACCTTTCAGACCTCAAGGACCACTACATAATTTTAAACCCCGCGGACCACTAATATGATTTTTTTTAAAAAAGATAAATAGTATTTAGTGCAATATAAAAATGCAAATAATTTTGTCACGGACCACTGGTTGGTGACCACTGCAGTAGTGGGATCCTACCGTAGTCGTAGCGACAAAATTATGGTTTGGTGGGTGATTGCATGCGCACCCCTAACAAGCCAATCAGCTGAGAGAATGAAGAAAGGGAAAGCTAGGAGTGACCCTTCCTTCCATGCGCTTTTCTGTCTTTTATCCTGTCCCTAAGTCTTGTTTTCCACCACTTAGCTGATTGGAAGCTTAGCTTTCCTTTTTTACTACCGGTTCGGCTGAACCAGTCCAAACCGGTAGCATACCACCCCTGGGAGAGTGGCAAAAACAAGTTTGTTCCCCGTGTTCAGGGGCTTTTGGCTTTTAAGAGTTGGGACTGGACAGAGGTTTGAGGACGCGAACAACATTTGGATACTAGACTGACTCACATTTGTTAATGGGGATATACGACTTAACAGGTCAATGTTGGGATCTATAGCACTATTTACTCATGGCAAATTATTTCCCTTCCTCAAAATAAAAAAAACATTTTTAAATAAAGGTAACCCCTGAAATTTAAGTAGTTAAGAGTCAAATGTAAGCAGGTTTTTTTTCCTCATAGTTTTTATTTTTATGAGTGTTGGTAACAATAAATCCAGTTGTCATGCCCGAATTTCCAAGACAATTCTACCTGGGTGACTGAAAATCTTCATCGACATACTTGTAGGATACAGGTAGACCTCGACTTACAACAGTTCATTTAGCGACCAAAGTTAAAACATCCCTGAAAAAAGTGATGTGTTATTTTTCACACTTGCGACCGTTGCAGCCTCCCCCAGGGCCACATGATCAAAATTCAGACACTTGGCAACTGACTCATATTTACGACGGTGGCATCATCCTGGGGTCATTTGATCCCCTTTTGCGACCTTCTGACAAGCAACAATGCTGGATTCACTTAACAATCATGTTAGTACCTTTAAGAACTGCAGCGATTCCCTTAACCAGGTGTCAGGGTTTTAAGTAACACACCCAACAGAATCAAACCGCCAAGGAAGGCACGTTCCTCAAAGCATAGATTTATTAGGCATGTCATTGGCACATCTGGGGATACCCAATTCTAGAATTTTCTTTCCCCTGCCCATGTAGTCGTTCACACGGTCCAGTCAGGCCACAGTCCAAGGGTCGCTTCGTCTCATATCTCACCTCCTTATACCTGGTGGGAAAGTCCTTGGTTCTCAGAGGGAAGAATTTTATTTTGGCTACAATCACCCTGCTACCCTGTTTCCCCAAAAATATGACCTACTTGAAAGTAAATCCTAGCTTGATTTTTTTTTACATGTGCGCCCAATATAAGCCCTACCTCCAAAATAAGCCCTAATTAAGATCCCGCCCACTCTAAGCTTGGGGGGAGGTGAAGCTGCCCTACTACTTACCTTTGGACAGTTGCAGCCAGGCCTTGCACACTGTGACACCTGCCTTGTCGGCCCATTTCCTCTGCAGCCGGCAAGGCTTTCCTGAAGGCCTCTGTAGCTGGTAACAAAGCTCTGGATCGATCCAGAGCTCCATTATCCCCTGCAGAGACCTTCAGCAAAGTCTTGCCGGCTGCAGAAGTAGTTCCTGAAGGCTTCTGACAGCAAAAAGGGGGCCGGGGGCGACGCGCGCAAGTGAGGTAAGTCAGTGGAGGGCATCCCCCGAAAATAAGACCTGGTGCCTTTTTTGGTGGCCAAAAATAATAAGACAGGGTCTTGTTTTCGAAAAAACACGGTATATCTACTCCCCCCCCCCCGCCGCCCTGTTCCCACATCTCGATGCACTTTGCTGTGGCAGCCCTGAAAGTGCCAGGGGGAAGGGGAATGGCTCCAGGACTGACACTGGGTTACTAATTGAACAACTGCCACAATTGCCTTAACTGTGGCAGGAAAGGTCATAAAACGGCGGCTTTCACATGCTTTACCGCTCTTACAGTGGCCAAGCTGTTGTGGTTTGCCGGCAGCCTGTGCAGACGGCAGCGGACTCTGACAGTGGGGAGAAAGGGAACCAGTCAGAGAGTCTGGCGAGGACTCAGACGAGGGTCCTGCATCTGATGCAGAGATGGGGCCAGGACCATCTGGGAGTGGGGTGCTGCCTCTGGAGTCTGGCAGCAGCGAGGCAGAGGAGCAAGGGGAGCCTGTGCTCAGTGTGCGTATGTGCAGAGCTGCTAGAAGGCAAGAGCAGCTGAGACAAAAGGGGGCGACTTGGGAGTAAGGCTGGGAGGTGATTGCCCCTCCCAGAAGGTATAAAGAACAGGCAAAGGTAGAGAAACCTTTGCAGGAAGCAAAGTTGTTCACTCTGTTCGGATTCAACCTTGAAGCTCCGTGTGGACTTTGTACTGGTTGGTTTTTTATAGTTCATTTTGCATTTCTGTTGTTGGCAGCACCTCACAGGAAAGAAAGGTGGGTGCTTATCTCGAGGGACTGCTTGGGACTTATTACCAGCATTGAAAATAAAATGAGTTGTTTTAACTGTGTGTGCTTAATTATGGACTCAGGAAGCCTTGGTCAGGACACAAGTATCTGATTTTTTGATCATGTGACCATGGAGATCCTGCTACAGTTGTAAGTGTGAAAAACTCTCATAACGGTCCCTTTTTTTCAGTGCCGTTGTCACTTTGAATGGTCGCTAAATGAACTGTTGTAAGTCGAGGACCAACTATAATGTAAACTCCAGGGAAAGGCAAAAACTAAGACTTCTTATCTTTTAGCAACTGAACCATGACTCGAGCACAGATTTCCCCTGGAATCCATAACAAAACCAAGAATTTTTTGATTGCTGGAGCTAAATATTGCCAAGTTAACTCGAGAGGCATCGGGTGGACCCTGGAGTGCTGCCCAGGGGAATTGGTCCACGTGTTTCCCAGGCGTTTTGAGCATCCTTGGCCGCTCAGAGGGACGACATGTTTAGCCACTGCCGGAGGGCGTACTTGGTCCCGGTGCTGACACACTCCACGTTTTCCCCTGGTGCCGTGGCCAGGAAGGCGGCGGTTGGGATCACCAGGGTCTTGGCTGAGCCCTTCTCCAGTTTGATGATGCTGCTCAAAATGGGAAACAAGATGCCCAAAGACCTTTATAAATGTGGGGAAGGGGACCAGTCTGCCCCTTGTCTCCTCCACCCCAAGTTTCTTGCTAAGAAGAGAAGAGATCCGTCAAAGAAGCAACGGGTGGAAACTAATCAAGGAGAGAAGCAACCTAGAACTAAGGAGAAATTCCTGAGCGTTAGAACAATTAATCAGTGGAACAACTTGCCTCCAGAAGTTGTAAATGCTTCAGCCCTGGAAATTTTTAAGAAGAGACTGGAGAACCATTTTCTGAAATGGTATAGGGTTTCCTGTCTAAGGAAGGGGTTGGACTAGAAGATCTCCAAGGTCCCTTTCCATCTATTCTGTTCTGTTCTGTTCTACTGTGTTTCTCCAACAATACGGCCCCCCCCCGCCATAGGAAGACCCAGCATGTTTTCTAGGCATAAAATGAAATTAAGCCCCTCCCCGCCAAATTTAGGCCTAGTTTAAAATATGCGAAATTGGGGGGCGGGAGGCGGGGGGGAACTTGCCAGTAGGAGTGCCCCGCGGGCAGCTACGCCTCACCATCAGGCGCTCCTAACACCATAGTGGAGCACGGAGGGCTCCCTTACCCAGATCAGCAGGTGGGCGGCGTTGGCGTGGATGTCCGGCAATGTTTCAGCCGCTTCTCAGGCCTCTGTAGCTTCCATGGTTCCCACCGGTGCTGGCGCCTCTCTCGCCAGCGCCATCCCCAACAACAGCGGCAGCAGTGGCAGGAACCGTGGAAGCATTTCAGCCGCTTCTCGAGTGGGGGATCCGCCTCTGTAACTTCCGTGGTTCCTGCTGCTGCTGCCGCTGTTGTTGGAGACGGTGCTAGCGAGAGAGGGACAGCTGCAGCTCAGCCTGGGTGCACCGGGACGTTTGCAAACTTGCAGAGCCCGAGGCTGGAGCACCAACGGTAACAGCAGCAGAGACGCTCGCTCGGCTCTTCTCACGCCCACCCAGCTGTTCGGGATTAAACCAAAACGCAGCACGTGGCGCTCCCAGGTACCTCAAAAAAATCTTTTCCTGTTGTTACAGGGACGGGGGGAAAGTGGCAGTGACTCAGATGCTGTTGTTGGAGATGGCGCTGGTGCGCCGGGGGGGGGGAGAAATTAATTCACCCCCCCCAAAAGATGTCCTAGCCGTTTTTTTGGGGCTCAAAAAAAAAATAAGGCCCGGCCTTATTTTGTGAGAAACACGGTATTCTCTATCTCTTATTCCATTGCATTCCATTTTCTATTATATATTCTATTCTGTTCTATTCTCCATCTTCTATTCTATCCTATGTCTATTCCTATTCCTATGCTAGTTTGGCCCCACAATTGTTCAAACGAAGAATAAGCAGCTATTAATTCAACCGAGGTCTTAGTTTGCATGACAATAGAACCATCATATATTTAATGATTTTCTAAATGTAAACTGTGAACATTTATCTGTGGAAGTTTCAGAAATGATGAGCTAAAGCAGGAAGGGGAGAGAACTTTGGGCCATCTCCTCGTCGAGATGGCGAGACAAACCTTTAATTCTTTCCAGCCTATATAAAGGGGAAGCTATTCAGAATAGTATAGATTGAAAAGCCTTAAATAATAGCCCTTTTCTTAGCTGAATGAAAGAGACTGATTTTCCTGAGAACTCTCTACCAAAGAGAAGGAACAAATCACGATGGACCAAACTAGGTTTCCTTCAGCCAGTTTATGAGGACTAGACCAGAGATCCACAAACTGGCTGTGGGCCAGTACCGGGCCATGGCCTGTTTGTGGGAGAAATGGGTTGCTTGTGTGAAGCTCCACTCGTACAAGTGGAGGGCACTTGTGCTCGCTTGCGAAGCTCCATTCATGCAAATGTGGCTTCGTGCATCAACACAACCGCCCTCCATTTGCGTGACGAGCTTCATGCGTGAATGCCAGCACCTTCCGCTCACGCACGAAGCTTCGTTTGCGCAAGTGGTGGGCGCGTGTTACTTGTACACACGGAGCTGTGTGTGTGAATGCCTACCACTCACACCTTGGGCCGGGCTGCCAAGCTGGAAAGGTTCGGGACTACTGGACTACACCCTTTGCTCTTGCTTTAAAAAGAGGCGAAGAGCCAAGTGTTGTGGCCTGTTGGCTGCTGGCCCCTCCAGGATCCGAGTCAGAGGAGGAGGAAGAGTGGGAGTTGGGGTCAGCATCAGGGCAACCTGAGAGCTCCGAGAGGGAAGAGGGAATGGAGCTGGCAGAGAGAGAGTGGGGGGGGGAAGCGGAGCCTGGGCTGTCCATCAGCCCTCAGATGGAGAGCCAACAGCTCCCAGGTCTGGAGGTGGCTGATGAGGAAGAGGAACAGCTGCATCCAGTGCCTGACGCTTGGATGCACCGAAAGCAGAGGAGAGGAGAGCAGTGGAAATCTATGGGCCGGTCTTTGGGACAGAACAGCCACCACTGCTAGCAAAGCCCCACCTTAGCTCTGGGGATCAAAGGCAGGGGGCGGAGATGAATAGGGGTGGCAGACAACTGTTCATCTCCCAGACGGACAGACGGACTTGTTATTCTGCGGTGAGAGAGACACTTTTGGGGGGGTTGCCGATGCTCCTAACAAAGGATTCTTTGCGTTCACTTCAGAGGGTTTGTCGTGTTTGGGGAGCTGGGTCAGAACACCGGGATGCTCTTCCCTGCCACCTACCTGACAGTGGATGGTGCCTCCCTGCCCACCCCTGGGGCCTCGCCTTCTGCTCCATCCTCTGTAGCCACAATGGATGCCAGGGTGAGGCGGTCCAGCCAAGCCACAGCGGAGACCTCGGCTTCATTGGGCTTCAGCCTGGCCTGGCAAAAGATCTGGATCAATGTACAATTCAGGCAGGCTCCCCACAACCCATCCTGCAGCATCAGTTCCCTTCTTGGGTTCCTCCAAGAACCCAAAAGGCCCTTGATTCGTTTACTGCAGGCTGAGGCTCCTGCCAGTGGCAGCCCAACTGGGAGAGTGCAAGAGAACCATTACAATCTAGTCTCCGTGTCTTTTGAACAACATGGCCTCCATTCTCATGTGTTGACATTCCTCCCTTCAACCGTAAGAAATTCCCCCCAAATTACAAACTCTTAATTAAACATTAAATTTGAGAAGCAGCTCTGGAGCTTCAGGCTTGGCCTGTTAGTAAACCCCAGGGAGATCGTGGCTTAGGCATCAAACCATGATTCAAATAAGTGGGCTTTAAGAAGAACGTCAGGAGGTGGAGGCAATTTGCCATGATCCTCAAGTCACTGAGGCTGGCCTCACTTTGGGCTGCTCAGTCTCAGCCCAGGCTACCTGGCAAGGCTGTTGTGGAGTTAAATTAAGGGAGACCCCAGTCCATGTCATCTCAGGCTCTCTGAGGAAAAGTCAAACCAATTGGGATTAATGCCAGGAGATGTGGTGGCACAGTGCTTAGAATGCAGTACTGCAGGCTACTCTGCCCACTGCCAGAAGTTTGATTCCTGTCGGCTCGAGGTTGACTCAGCCTTCCATATCCTTCTAAGGTCAGTTAAATGAGGACCCAGATTGTTGGGGGCCAGAGGCTGTCTGTAAGAGAAGGCTGGAAAGCATTGTGAAGTGGTATATAAATCTAAATGTTATTGCTATCTTCCTTCCTTCCTTCCTTCCTTCCTTCCTTCCTTCCTTTCCTTCCTTCCTTCCTTCCCTCCCTCCTTTCCTTTCCTTTCCTTTCCTTTCCTTCCCAGTGCTGTAAAAGCACTGTGAAGTGGTATAAGTGCTATTGCTATTGTCCTTCCTTCCTTTTCCTTCCTTCCTTCCTTCCTTCTTTCCTTCCTTCCTTTCTTCCAGTTAGAATGCAGAATTGCAAGCAAACTGCCCATAGTCAGGAGTTCGATTCTGAGCAGCTCAAGGTTGACTCAGACTTCCGTCCTTCCGAGGTCAATAAAATGAGGACCCAGATTGTTGGGGGCAGGAGGCTGACTCTGTAAACCGCTTAGAGAGGGCTGTAAAGGCCCTGTGAAGCGGTATATACGTCTAAGGGCTATTGCTATTGCTACTAAGAGCAAGACACTTCTGCTGCAGACACCTCAGTGGGGAGCGGAGCGTGGCCAACGTGCCCCACTCACTTGGAGCTGCTGGTGGCTCTCGTGCAGGGCCAAGCGCAGGTAGACCACAATGTGATGGCGTTGGGGCAAACCTTGGCTCAGCCGTGGCGGATACACTGACTGCAGGGGGAGACAAGACATAGTAAAATGGGATTGCAATAGCGCTGAATGGCTGTAGTCGGGTGGAGGAGGAGGGTGGAAGTTCTTGTGGGCTGGTTTCTAAATGCTTCGTTACAGAGCAATCCAAGACCCATTTTGATAGAAGAGCAATAGAAGAATTACTGGCCAGGCTGCCACCGGCCATGCTCATCAAGGCCTGGCGCTCCACAAGCAATTCCATCCACCGATGCATCGACCCACCACCAGCCTATAAAACCTTCAGAATTCAAATCAGTCACACAACCAACCAGCGATAACATCAATCCTCAACCAACCCACGCAAACCCCCAGTGATGGGATTCAATTTATTTTTATAACTGGTTCTGTAAGCGTGGCTTGGTGGGCATGGCAGAGGAAGGATACTGCAAATTCCCTCCCCACCCCACTAACCTGCTTTCCAGCTCCGTTCTCCTGTGCAGGGCAACCAAAGAAGACCCAGCTGATCAGTTGGGACTTGGGAGGCGGAGAATAGATGGGGGCGGGGCCAGTCGGAGGCAGTATTGGCCGGTTCTCCAAACTACTCAACATTTCCACTACCAGTTCCCCAGAACCGGTCAGAACCGGCTGAAGACCACCTCTGCAGAGGGGGTTTCCCAAAGGAGAGGGAGGGCCTGCTTGGTCCTTATTTGGGATGCCAAGCTGCAGATACCAGAGGGGACATTCACACATGCTTCTTCTGGCATCCTTGCTACTCAGGATTGGGGTTCAACTCATCATTCTGAGCCAGTGGTGGGATTCAAATTTTTTTACTACCGGCTCTGTGGGCGTGGCCTGGCTTGGTGGGCGTGGCTTGGTGGGTGTGACGGGGAAGGTTCCGGCAAAATCCCCCTTCCCTCCCCACCCCACTAAACTGCTTTCCAGCTCTGTTCTCCTGCGCAGGGCAACCAAAGAAGAGCCAGCCAATCAGCTGGGACTCGGGAGGTGGAGAATAGATGAGGGCGGGGCCAGTCAGAGGCGGGACTGGCTGCTTCTCCGAACTACTCAACATTTCCACTACCGGTTCTCCAGAACCGGTCAGAACTGGATGAAGACCACGCCTGCAACCGCGTCAAAACCAGCACTTCACCTCCCAATCACCCTCACCCGACCTGACCTCTCCATCACAAGACCCTCACCTGATGTGAGCCACAGCTGCGTCATCACAAGACCCATCTTGGGGGTCCTCTTACCTCCCAGAGGGCCAGCAGTTCCCAGCACAATTGCCCATCCTTCAGGTGCAAGCCAGTCTCTTCCTGCAGCTCCCGCAGCCCGGCATCCAGCAGCTGCGGACAAGGAAGAAACAAGGGTGGGAGAAGGGGCAGCTTCCTGAAATCGGTGGGCATCGGGGCAGTTGCGACTCCGAAGAGAGCCTCTCACCACAGGTTGGGGGGAACCCCTCTTCTAACCCACGTGGAATCCTGAAGGCCTGGTGGGAGAAGGCCTGAAGGATTCAGGGAAGGAATTCTGTCTTGGCAAAAGGCTAAAAAAAAAATGAAGGCAGTCTATGTCAGAATGAGACAACTCGCCGTGGCCATTTTGCCATGGGACAAAAGTTACACTAATAATCAAAGAAATGGTGGAATAGAATAGAATAGAATTCAGAATAGAATAGCAGAGCAGAGAAAGAATAGAATAGAATAGAATAGAATAGAATAGAATAGAATAGAATAGAATAGAATAGAA